CTCAGCAGAGACCCAAAGACATCCCTTTCCTCAGAGATCCCCTCCAGCTCTGCAAGGAGAAACCCTAGGCACCTTGAACCCAGCCGAGAGACATGGTCCCTCCAGCGTATTCTGGTTGCATGTAAAAAAAGAGCCATCACAGTTGCCTCTTCCAGATGTGGATCTGACCAAGTATTTACTAAGATAACCAAAGTAATTTATCTAATTAGGACAGTTCCTCTGTTAGGATAAAAATTTACCTGCAGTATCTTTGTGGCAAATATTTGGAAATGTAATCAGAGCAGTGTCCTTCATCTAAAAGCAGTGTAATACTTTGATTAGGCTACAGCCATAGATGTCTCCTAATTTACAGATGTGTATGATGTAATAATGCAATGACATGGCATACTAGCGTTGTATAAAATGCTACTTCAGCTGTTATTCATGGTCACTTCAACAAGAAGTGAACCCGGTTGGTAAGCAGCTGCCTTCTGTAACTCAAATCAACTTCTCTAGTCTAAATAAGATTGTAGTTTCTCTCAAAAGCTGGTGTCTCATGGTTATAAATACATATACATTATGAAGTGTTACTTAAAGAGTTTATCCTGAGGGATCTCTTCTCAGGAAAAGAACGAGAGAGCGAAAGCTTCAAAGTGTAAACACAGAGCCTTCCTTTACAATAGCGAAGCCAGGTTCAACAATCAGCCTGATTTTCCCTCCAACACCCTGGCAACGGCCTTCCGTGAGAGGCTGAGGGTCAGATATTCTGTTCCCCCTTCTTATGGAGTGCAACCACCACTCCATTTTGCCAGTCCATGGCCACTGTCCATGAGCCCCACACAGTGTTAAAGAGGTGGTTTAGCCACAACAGCCTAGCAACATCCAGATGCCTAAGGTATTCAGGGCTCATCCAACCTTGAAACCTTGCTGCTATTAATGTTTTTGACGACCTCTGTTATCTAGACTGGGTAATAAGCAAGCACGCCCACTGCGGAAGCCATATAAGCCAGGCTGAGGAGATCCTCCCTTTTTTTTTTTTTTGAGGTCAGCAGCTCCACATGTTTTACTAAAAACAGCATTTGCAAAGAACCGCTTCCCCCTCTGGTGGTGCCACGTTCGCTTTAAGGCTGACTGATCCAGACTCCATGCCCCCAGCCTCTCTCGGATTCTAGGAGAAGCTCTCCCAGGAGTAGGAGTTGAACACATCCCTGTCCAAGGGCTCCGCCAGATGTTCCCAGCAGACCCTTACAACTGACTTGAGTCTGCTGACTCTTTCCAGCTTCCTCCTCTTCCAGTGTATCCAATTCACCACCAGGCAGTGATCTGTGGACAGCTCCGCACCTCTCTGTACCTGAGTGTCAAAGAAGGTTGGGAAGGTGTCCTGGTGCCAAGTACTGGCACCAGATGGACATTCTTATGCTTGAACAAACCGGGGCTTACACAAAAGGTCCTACTGGTTCCTGTAGGTCATGTCCCTCTAGGTATTGCTCTCATTTCCCACTTGGGCAATTGAGTCCACCAGAAAAATGAAAGAATCCCTGAGAGGGGCACATTCCAACACCCTTCCAAGGGATACTAAGGCCTCATACTCTGTACAGCCCGTCGCAGACCTCCCCCTAACCAAAGGCGAAAGGATGCAACCCTCTTGTCCACTGGAAAATGATGCTCAATGGCAGATGTGGGCAGACCCAGATTCGCCCTGCAGAGCCCAGGGCCGATAAAGAGACCCCAGACCAGAAGGACACAGGGAGGAAAGACATAGGGAGAGCTACACCTATCAGAGAAGGGCAGACGAATAAGAGCAAGCTCTACAGTGGTCTGATCCCCTAGGACAGGGGTCCCCCTTGCGACTCCCTGGAGCTTTTTCAAAAATGTATGAAAATGGAAAATGATGGATTTCTTTTGTTTTATTTTAATATGGAGTGCAGGAGGTCAAACAAACATTTGCTATATGTTTCAAATGCTAAAAAAAATTGCATAATAAATAAATTTAAACAATACATTTTAACATTTCTGTCAATGAAGGTTTGCATCATAACCTCAAAACATGTTTCAGCATGGCGCGGTGCCAGGCAGGTTGCTGTTGTAGACTAAACATATCTTGAGCCATGGATCCCAAAGTGAAAAAAGTAAGATAGCTGATGAGAACAGGATTTAAAGAAGAATAGACCAAATTATTTGCTTTCATTACCAAAGCGAAAGGATTGCCAGGATGTTTGCTTTTTAATGAGAAATAATAAAAAGAGTAATTTGGAAAGGCATTAAAGGCATGCTAAATTTGCAACTGGCCACCAAGTTGGGAGTGAGAGTAAATGTGCGACAGCAGTACTTCTGGATAATTTAGAGAAGCTCAGAGATAGATTTAAAGGAATAGTACACCCAAAACATAATTAGCCTTCATTTTCTACTCACCCCCATGCTGAACAACACTCTGGAGTACTTTTTTGATATCTCAAATGCATCTGGAGATCTGGGAGGCTTCTTGCTGTCTGCTGACATTCAAATAATGGAGGTCTATGGTGCCCGAGGCAGAAAGGTCCATAAAAGTCCACAAAAAACGTGTCAATATTCCTCCATACTGCTCGTCAAATGTATTCCAAGTGTCCTGAGTGGGTAGCGTCCATAATTTACTCGAAACGAAGTAATTTAGAATGTTTTTAGAGCATAAACAGTAGTGTATTATGCAAGTATGTGAACTTTCTTCCATTTTCCCACCAGATCCTCTTCATTCTTTGTTGTGTTTCTATAATTGAATCAATGCAACAAAACCTAATACAATAATATTGTAAAAGAATTTAAACTTAAAAACTCTCACAGTAGTCATATGACGTGACATTTGCCACAAGATAAATGACCCCACAGGGCCAGGATGTCCATGGCCCAGCCCAGGAGTCACCAGTAATGAGACAGCACCCACTGAAGCACCCAACCCAGTACCAAGGGAACAAAGGTCCTGGCTCCACTGTCTTGGGAGACCCTACCAGGGGCATTTCATTCTCAGACAACATCATAGCCTCTGGGCACTGATACCCCTCCACCACATATGTTTAAAATGACTTTTTAATATATATATATATATATATATATATATATATATATAAATAAAATAATATATATAAAAAAGTGGAGGAAACATGTCGATAAAAATAAAAATGTAGATAATTTTGAACATCAAAATAAAGTTTTTTTTGGATAATAATTCAGCAAACACACACACTGCACTGCTGTTGTGTTTTTGCTTTATTCTGCAACCATGGTTACCTCTGCATGATAAAACAAAAAAACACTGTAACAACCCACTGAATAATCACTTCACCTATAATACATGAGTATCTAGCATCTAAAAAAAATACTTAAATTCACATTTTGAATACATTTTTTGTAAGTTAAGACATATTTCAAGTAGATCAAAAATAAACAAATCACCATGCATATTTTTTCATCATGGTATTCACATCTTAATAACCAGAACTGAAAGATGATGAATTTCATTTAATAAATACCAAAAAGAAAGGTCTTTGAACAGCTGTGTGAAGAGTTCTTTGGGGCTTGTGTTTATTTATGCTTCTGGCTCAATCAGGGGATTGCTAGGAAGAAGTATGGAGAAGCCTCCAGTCAATTTGTCTTACTGACATATGATGCTGACAACACTTAAAAAGAAAGTTTGATGAAGAAGAACCTCAGTACATATCCCAAAGAGACAGCAACTGACCGAAGCCGTGTGCGTGGGCTGAGCTGCGTTGACAGGAGATACGTCTTCTCTATCTCCGTGTCCCTCGCAGCGCAGGAGATGAACAAATCTGCAGCCTTTTGTCCACCGAGTCCTTGGGGGCAAACCTAGAACACACTGCGGTTACCTTTGCATTGCTGGAAACTTGGGAGATGGTGCATATAACTGCTGGCACTGGCGGAGAGTCAGTCCGAAATAAATAGAGTTTTAAGCCCAACAAAAATAGAAAAATAAGAAAAGTGTAGTGCAAATGTTTAAACGACACAACCAACCTTCACAGTAACATCAGTTCAAAGAAAAATTTACCAAGTGTGTCAAGGATTCTTTCAAAGCAAATAAACTTTGATTGAATGACTAATTAAAACACCAAGAGGGAACTTTTCTATTCTATTTTTTGCTGGTTCTTAGTTAATATAATTTTCTCACAATGAAATGATTCAATAAATTTACAGATTGCTCTAAGTACAAACCAGTAGTCACAAGAAAAGCACAAAGAAACAAATATGAAATTTACAATTGGCATGACCATGTTAAATTGATTGGAGCATTTTTGTTGGGGTAATTAATCATTTGAACAGTTAAGATCAGTTGGTTTCAGATCCTAGATATTTGACAGTTTCTGAAATGACTTATTTGTGTCTTCTAAACAAGAGGGACTGCCTAGAATCTCATCTTCTGTGTATACCTATCTGCTATAATCTTCTGTTCTTTTTTTTTTTTTTTTTTTTTTTTTTTTTGCTATGTCATATATAACATTGTGAGCAGCAGAGAGACAGGCTTGATGGAATACACAGATCCAGGCTTGGGAGCCCTCCATCATCTCCTGGATATTGCAAGCTTTCATTGGATGAGAATCTGGTGATAAGATTTACTGATTACAGAGAGCTTAATGAATCTGGTTCCCTCACTGTCTTACTCAGATAAGCCTGTTCAATGCATCTGCAGAAAAAGTAAACTTCATGAACATAAGTCCAAAAATGCGAAAGAAAGGGAATGCACACGCAAATATTGTGTGTGGTTTATTTATATATATATATATATATATATATATATATATATATATATAT